TATTTCAATTAGATTTTACCACATATATCAGACAAATCTTATTTCTTTATTAATATTATATATATTCATTTATCAAGTAAATTATGAAAATCAACATATATCAAGATTTTCAATTAACCTCTAATTAATAATTCATTAAAATAATTAGTTGATAAGCATGGTTTATTCTTTTAAATCTTATCTTTATTACATACTCCTTCTATTTCAAAATATAAAATGTTTTAGAGGTTTTTTTTTGTTTCAAAATATAAGATGTTTTGATAATCCTAGATACTTTTTACTTTACTAAATATTGTGCGACCAATAGTATTCTATAGTTTTTTTTTTTATAATTGATTAAACTATATTTATCTTATACTCCCTCCGTTTTAAAATATAAGTTGTTTTGGAGGTTTTTGTATGTTTCAAAATATAAGTTTTTTTATAATCTTAGGTACTTTTTAACTTTATTGATAGTATTTTACAGTCGTTATTTTCATTGATTAAATTATTTTTTATATATATATATAAGATGATACTATTTAGAAAAAAGTAGTTTCTTAATATTCGCAGTTTTAGCCATAACAACTTATATTTTGAAACAGACAGAGTGTTAGTGCAGAAAAATTTGCTGAAGCAACAGGATCAGTGAAGCAGTGAAGAGTTCGTCTGCTACATAGAAGCTGGAAGGAATAATCAGCAAACTAAGGAAAAAATTCTTCGTGTGACTAGGCACGCCAGGTGGCACCTCGAGTTGGGAACCACACTACCAGGACACATACGCGGGAAGTCGGGTTCGAGAAACAAGGAGGTCTGACACAAGTGCACAAAGTCAAGGTGCAAGTGGGATTACTTACTGTTGATCAAAGGTTGATGGGACTGGTGGTCTGACATCAACTGGAGCAGTTCTGTTGCCCTTTCAGATTAAGGGGGAGATGTTTTTAGGGCTATAGGAGTTGTTGGTTGCTACTACTATAAACAGTGAGAGCCATTTGATCTGTTGTGTTGAGTGAAAGAGATAGGTTTCGTAACTGTTGTTGCGTTACATTGGGTAGATTAGGAACATGTTCATGAGCGAATCACGTGTGTGTGATGTCGCGTAACTCTGGGTAGAATATGTTGTAGGATCTGTTCTATAGAAGTGTTTGAGTAATCTATCTGTTGCAACAGCTGGGTCGTGTATCAGTTGTTGTGCCATGCGGAGAAAGCAATAAAGATTGTGTGTTTTTATTGGAAACTATATATATGTCTCTTGTTCATATCTCTGTTCAAGTATCTTATGCAAAGATTCCTGCTTTTTCAT